AAACGTGGCGCATTGGACGATTACAAGTGGCGCTTCAGTTAGTTCTGAGCAAAATTGCCAGATTTGGCTTTTTTGCGATTAAGAATATTATATAGAAAAATAAATTTTTTATAGTCTGTCTTGGCAAGTTCATTTGTTGCACAATTTGTTACGGTCTATTTTGCAGATAAAATGAGTATTCTCCACATAGTAAATTACAATGTATGCATGTATTTTGAGTTTTGCAATCTTTATTTCCGATCAGTTTACAGGCGTGTAAATGGCCGAAAACATTTATTGTGATTAAAGTTATTCCAAGCTGATCTCGTTCTCAGTGCCAATAATTGTGGTGCAGAGTAATCTTCACCAAACGAGACTGGCAGCAATAGCACCTTCATGAAGCAATCACCCTCTCGTACAGAAGATCATTGTTGACTATTGTAAATTGGTGCTTCAATAAACTGTCATAAATTAATTAATTCAACTGCGTGATTAAGTTATTCCCTTTTCTTTCCTAAGCGAAGCAGATTTATTCTTATCTCTATTTATCAACCCCTAACATTGAATGTAAGACTGTATAAAAAGTGTTCGAGTTATATGGCGCATTTGAACTCGTCTGTCAAAAAATTGGCGCATGGTATGAAAAAGGTTGGCCACGCCTGATTTAAGATATCATATTTTCAATTGGTGTCTACTTGACCAATGATTGGGCCATTTCCTATCAATTAAGTATTGCAATAAATATGACAATAGTAGGCTGAAATAACCAAACTCTCTATATGGTTTTCATTTTAATGTGTGTTATATTATATTTGATTTATATAACTATGAAGGTTATCTTACATAAGGATTTATCATACCAAGTGACCAATCTAACACATTTTAAAAATTTTCTTCCTTACCGTACACAATTTAAAGAAGTTTTAAATTATGTTAGATTGGACAGTTGGTGTGAAAAATACTTATATAAGATAACCTTTATAGTTATATAAATCAAATATTATAATATAATATAATAGAAGGGTTAGAAGTACAAAATAATATAATAATCTTAAATTTTGTTGTTATTTTTTGTTCAGGCAATGCCGGGCTCATCTGCTAGTATGTTAGAATTAATTTAATACTTATTATTCGTAGGTTTTTTTTTTTTTTGTTTGTGTAGTTATATTCATTGTTGTTTATTTTTACATTTTTGTTTATATTACTTTATTAATATTTTTTATATAGCTGACTGTTTTTTATTTTATCATTTTTTGAAAAATAATAAACTTTGATTGAAAATATAAGGTCACTTATAATTAAAAATGTTTGTTATATTTCAGGTAAATCAATGTCAAATAGGTACTGCTCAGAAGTCTGTGAAGTAACTGAATTTTAGGATTTTATTTCATTTATATATCAGCATTTCTTATGTGATGATATTAACATACAAAAAATTGTAATATTTTTGTATGTCATTATAAAAAAATATTTCTTGTTTTACAGGTTAAAAAATAAATATGAATGATGTATTACAAATTAACTTCTGAATAAAAATTAACTATTTAATTTTATATTTATAATCATAGAATGTTTGTTTTCAATCTTGACTAATTGCTTTGTGATATTGATAATTTGCTTGCTTGCTCTATAAAAATTTTTTCCCTTGTAAATAATGCATTTTATTTTTATTTTATAATGTATATAATTTTTTATAATTGAATTTGTTACAAAATACACATGAAATATCTCACATGTATACAAATTTATTAATAAAGTATTTGAAACTACTGGAATTTTTGGACTTTTTGTCATATTTTAATTATTATTATTGTCATTTCCAAAAAGTCTTTATTATTATTTAAAAATCCCTATAAAAAAAATAATTTGAGTTTTGTAGTAGTATAAATAATATAAAGCATTAAAACAATAAGTACTGAAGTTATACGATGTGTTCTCAATAAGTCTGGAACCATAGGAATTATGTTATTGATCTTTGTTTATTTGTTTACAGTTAAAGCATGGTGCTAAATAGGGAAAATGAATTCAAGTTACTTTAATGGTGGAGACTTGCAGTCAGTGAGAAGATGCTGTATGCAGACTGCTATGTGATTGATGGGAAGGTTGGATATAGCCTGTTAAATTTCAACAACTTCATACTGACAATGAGACTCTATAATCAAAAGAATTTGAATTCATTTCTCTTGCACAACTCAACGCTTTACAGTGCTATTCTTTTACCTGTAAAAGAATAAACAAAGATCAACAACTCCTAGGATTTCAGATTTATGGGATACCATTCACACAGTGTCCCATAAATCTGAAATCCAAGGAGTTGTTGATCTTTGTTTATTCTTTTACAGGTAAAAGAATAGCATTGTAAAGCATTGAGTTGTGCAAGAGAAATGAATTCAAATTCTTTTGATTATAGAGTCTCATTGTCAGTGTGAAGTTGTTGAAATTTAACAGGCTATATATAGAGTATATGTGTACTGTATATATAGGGTATAACAAAACATTATACCACTATTTTAGGAATGGATTTTAAGATTAAAAATAAGCTTAAAGTTCTCTATAAATGTTTTTCAAAATCCACTTCATTTTCAAGATCTGGCCTTCTAAAAAAAATATATTTCAAATTTCCTGCCAAAGTACTAAAGCCAAGTAATTTTGTTTTCCTATTCTTTGTCATGGATTGAGATAAGTAAATTTTGCTCAAGTAGCTCTATTGAAATAAATATGGATATTTTTTATTTTACATATTCATTTCTGGAACTTTTTGTAAACTTATAGATTATTCTCAAATACAGTATAAGAATCATTTTAAATTTAATTATAGTAACATAAAGAGAATGCATTTTACATAAATAAAAATATAGTGTTCACAGCAGAAATGAAAAAGAACCATTAAAAGCAAACTGTTATATTATTAAATAAAATATTTTGTTGAGAAATATAATGTAAAAAAGTAAATTTGAATATATATTCCTTATGTTGTTAACATTAGATGATGGTTTTCTAAATAAGCCAAGTTTTACTTTCCTGGCTGTTATACAGAGGAAAAGTATGGCAGTGTGGCAAAAAATGACCCCCCCCAGATTTTTACATTTTTGGGCTTAGGATACATTGAAATGTTCAGAAATGTAAAAAAATTCAGGGTAAATTCTGTATGTATGGATGTGTTTGAAGTTTAATAACTCCTGTGCTTTTTGTGGAAAATTTCTGAAATTTTGCAAGACGGTTTGTTTATTAGGGGGATTGATTCTATTAAATTTTGGTAGTTAAAGGTTGAGGGATGAGGAGATAATGGGGGTCGTGTATATCCAGTAGGGTTGGTTTTAATCATGATTTTACTTGTTATTAGAATTTACAATTTTTTTATAAAACTCATCCCTATCCTCAAAATTAATCTTTTTGCCATTTTAAAATGATTAAAAATATGTTTTTAATAATAAAATATCATAATGATAATGCCATCAAAATTTTAAATGTTGCTGGATTATTTTAATGCTATTATCAATCTAAATACTATGTGCTTTTCCATTTTCTCAATTATTGGCACTTGAGATGAACTGTCATATTTGCTGTCATGTAAAAAGATCCTGCACCAATACCAGTTCTAATTTTCAGTTCATATTTCTTTATGGTACAGATTGTTGCTTTATTCAAATTTAAATGTTTACAACATATAGCTTTACTTTTTTTTTATGTTGATGTAGAATTTGTATCTCTGATTCTAGAGAAATAAAGTTTCTTTTGAACAGTGCTTTTTTATTTTCATTAGCCATAATTTAGAACTGGAATTTAATTTACAACAAAAGTTATTTTAATGTGATTCTTAACAAAATTTAGTAACACATACTTGAAAAATAAAGTTTATTTGATTGTTTATAATTTTCAAAATTATAAACAATTAAATAAAATAAAAAATAACCTTACAAAATCCTTAAATTAATAAGTCATGAATTCCAAAGTCAAAATTCTTAATGAACTTAGGTAAGTATAAATTCAATAGCACAGAACATGGAAATTTCCCAACAAAATAAAATTTAAAAGCTTGTCTAATAGTTTCTTGTGATTGTGTAACAGCTATTGAATCAACGTTAGGTTCACAAAAAAAAAAAAAAATAAATAGTAATAATGGAAATTTTGAAAACTTATAAACATAATAGCTTTTTTGGTTTTCTCTGCACAAAAATTAAAAAATACTGTGTATGTAAAGATTGCTGCAATTCTTTAACAATGTTACATGAAAGTTGCTTATACTTTCAGTAATTTAAACTGAAATCTGGAGAGAACTCTTATTTCAGTTGATAAAAGTTTCAGTGACAGATTTACCAAGAAGCAAAACAATCAAGTGTTTGGGCCACCTTTGTTGAGAGGAGCTCCATCAGGAATCTTTACCCTTTATTTTTTCTTAATTTTTTCATTGAGCTATGAAGACAGCATAGACCAAATTTTTGTTTCATAAATAAAAAACAAATTTTATTTTGTATTTAAAATTGTTTACTTTATTTAAATTTTGTAATTTTGCATTAACATTGATGTTAATGCAAAATTACAAAATGATTAGTATGATTTTTTCTGGGCCCTTATTAGGGCCTCCTGTTGAGGAAAAGATATATTTCTTAATTGTATATTTGAAACTCAGAATTGAAACAATATCATCTCAAGACGATAAATTTCGGAAAATTTTTTTTTTGTATAATTGAGCAGTTTGTGGCTGAGAAGAGTCAGAAGTTGTAATATATATGATTATACATGATAAACTATGTAATAAACTGTATATTATTGATAAATGAATTTAATTCTACTTTCAATTTCTGTTTTTTTAGTTGCAAAGGGTCCCTTTGAAGGTACAGTACATCCAGCATTGAAAGGCATAACTCATGAAGCCAAGACTGTTCCTATGGGAATTTTGAAAATTTAACCCCTTTCATTTGGTAATTCAAACAGAAAAAGGTTACTATGTTAAATAATACATGGTAGATAACTTGATTTATTTTGTTCCTGTTCACTTTTTTCCTGGAATACCTACAGTGTAAAAATGGATAGCCTATATTATGAAAAAATTTGTTTTTCAAATCCCCTCTTTTAAAAATACTATATACAGACCTGCATCAAACAGAAAAACAAAAATATTGATAAAATTTTTTTATTTAAAATATTATTTGTATTATTTTATAGATAATTCTGCATTCATTTTAAACAAAGTTATTACATTTAAAATTTTATTTCTGTATTTATATTTTTAATGATCAAAACATTACTAAATGAAATTATCAAGAATGTATCATATTTGTATTTATTAAAATTTAGTGTAAAAACTCCATTATACTTCTATATTAAACATATTTTAAGTTTAAATTTAAAATTATAAATGCTTAACACATTCACAAAGTTATATATATCTGTACCTAGACTTGCATGCATCATGAACCATGCATGATATATAAAGAAAAGTTTATATACAGAATTGGTCATACATCTGATGCAGGGAATTACAATAACTACATAGTTAAAATACAAATACAGTATATCATTTCTAAACTCTGGAAATATCTAATAAATTCAATGTCATAATTTGATATACTATCAATTTTTTTTAATTAAATACTTTAATAATCTTTATTATTATATAAATATTTTAGAATTTTTCAATTGTATATTCCCAATATTCTAGTTTTTAATTGATAAAAAAAAATTAAATTACCTTTACAAATAAGAAACAAAATGCTTCATGGAATATTCTGAAAATTATTTCTCCAATTAAATCTGTTATAGTTTTATAAACTGCAACAGCTGTTTTAAATATTTAGGCTTTCATTTTAATTATGACATTTCATATGTGTTTCATATATGTTTACTATTATGTGACATTTCAAGAAAATAAAAAAAAAATTATATATATTAAAAGAATAATTTTTTTATTAAAATTTACTAAATAATTTTACACTTTTAATTTTGTGCTGTACAAATTTGGAAATATAAAATATCACAATTCATTGCACAGATTTTATACTTGTACATTTTTAAAATTTCACAATTACGGTACCAAGAAAATATGTTTTGCCATCTTTGCAATATAGTAATAATGCATTAAATCTGTGTAGTTTGCAAGAGTTCCAATGATCAAGAATAGAATAGAAAATTAATAACTGACAAGTGATAGCACAATATTAATTAATAATTTGAAATTTATTTCAACTTGAAAAATTTAGATAAATCTTTAAAATTAAAAGGAAAATAGAAGAAAAATGAGATAATTTTAACAAATGTGTCAATGTTGAATAAATCAAACATTTTCAAAAGTTTGTAGAACAATCCCAGCTTATCTAATTTATCAATTTAAAGAATTACCATAGTGTACAGAATGTTACCATAGTTGAACTGTGCAGATTAAACATTTACTAGAAAAATAAAATGCATCACTCCAAATATATCCAGATGCTGGTTTATATATTAATAAAACATAAAATAAATGCACTAAAGCATTTTATAGTTGTAGTAGCAATAACAATCCACATGTTCCAATATTTTAAAGTAATAAACTTATAACTTATTTTAATAGGTATATGAACATTTTTAAAACAATATATCCTTATATAAATTTGTATCGTGAGAAATAATATGGCACTAAAAATAGATAACATTGACAATAATGACCAGTATGAATTATAATTTGGATAAAATAAGCCAAAAAGACTAGAAAATAGGAAACAATAAAAATTTTGTACAGGACTATGATGATGCATGATACTTTACAAAAGCAATTGCAGCAAGTTCTTTACAGAATTCTTCGATGACAATCAATGCCTCTAAAATATTTGCATCTTCAAAACTGCTATATTCTGCAGCTTCACTTAACAATGCTCTTCTGGTTAATCTTAGTTTTTTCTTAAAATTTACAGTTTTACGAATATTAACCTGGATATCTTCTACGACTTTTAGCAACACTGTGAAAAGAGATCTACAGCCTGTTAACGGTATTAATGGATTTAATAAATATTCATGAAGATTAGGATGCGGAAACAATGCTATACGAGATACAAGAGAGGTTATTTGAAGATTTACTTCATATGGCTGCTCAAGCATATGTTCTAATTTATCAAAAATCATACTTAAAAAATCTCCTTCGTAAAAATATGACGTAGAATCTGCTTCAGGTTGTGAATCAGAACTTGAATCATCTTCAACTGTATTTTTCTCTTGAGCTAATTCTTGAGGCCAATCCCATTGTTCACAAAGCATTAAACATTCTTGAAACTGTCTATGAGCATCATTGATATATGTATCATATCCAGAATCATCTTCTGCATCACAAGATTTAATTTCATCAGGCAAAAGTAATAAGAAACAATTTAATATTCTGTGTATGTGTGTTGGTGCAAAAGCTCGATTTACTGGTGAAGAACCAGGTGATATCTCATCATCATCATATAAACTTCTTCCATGTGCACTTTCTTCATCATCACTGAAATCAAAATAGCTATCACCTGCAGTAAAGTCATAATAATTCCTTTCTTTAAGATTATTTAAAATCAAATTGTTAATTATTTTTTCTGTTGGCTTATGTAATAATTCATCAAATAACTGTAATGTTGCCAATCCTAATTGAGGGCATCTACTGCTATTTTGGCATCTCTCTATTAATAAATGTTTCAGTAAGTGTCCTGTATATCCTGGAATGTCTGGCTCAACTGTGTCTCCTAGCAAAAATACTCCAAAAGAATTTACAAGTTTTGGAGAAGATATATGTCTAAGGCAACAGGATACTACTGTTGTCATTAAGAGAGCAATGTCTTTATCATCATCTTCAGTTATATCAGGATATAATATTGCTTCAAGAAAATCTGACTGAAAAGAGGTAGCTAAAGTATCACCAATAAGAGGATGAGATTGCTGGGTTAAACAGTCTACAAAATCTAACCATTTAAGAAAACAAAGCAATCTTCTTTTTCCAGGAGATATTTGAGCATCTGAAACAATAGGTGTTAAATCATGATTCCATTTTGCAAAAGCATCATCAACATCTATTGGTTTTAAAGTTTTAGGTATACCAGCATAAAGAAGAGTCAATCGGTTGATTATTTCTTGACAACATACAGTATGCTTAATTATAACCATTGCAACAGCATCATTTGCTACTGACGTGCAAAGAATAAGACAATTTCCAGCCTTAGTCGACACTTCACTATCGGGACTACTTAATAAAGAAAGCAAAGATTTAACAAGAGGATATTCCATACTGTCTTCATTACTCGAACATTCTTCAGATTTTTTCTTATCCTTTAACGATTTAATAGATGCATCAGATAGGAAACAATTAGCCAAATAAGGATTTTCTTGAAGTTTAGTACAGATGGTATCTAGAAAAGCAATTTCTTCTCTTTCAGATGGAGCAGCCATTACTTCTCCGCATAATTTTATCAGCTTTTGAACAGGAGTACAAACATTTATCTGAGGTAACAGCGAATGTTTAGAATTAGACAGCAGCTGTCCAACAAACATCAATACATATCTTTTCATACCAGGAGGAGTGTCTGCTCTAGCTAAAACAGCTACAGTCTCTAATACTTTATGCTGAAGCAGATATTCCATACAAAGTCCCATACTGCCACTTTCTGATTCTTCTTCTTCTTGTTCTAATACAGCTGACATTTGATTAAAATGATCTGGCAAATTCGTGGATTCAATGGGTATCTTTCCAGACGAGGTTTTCTCCGTATAAAATTTGGTGATGGCATTCCAATGCCAAACGAATTCTTCGTGAAGAGGTAACGGTGGAGCCAAAGCATCCACCGCATTATAAATAACGTTAGCGAGTCGACTAAACATAACTTTCCTATACTAACTCACATAATTTCCCAAATTCCATCAAAAAAATAAACCCCAAAAGTCAACAGACGACACGATCCCCAAACATCACACAAAACTTTAAAGTTTCAACGTCACTTCCGACGACGTTACAACTAGTGACGTAATTATCTCAAATGAGTTTAATACGATTTCCAACTCCAATAAAACACACTAAAATCGAAATTTTAATAAGAATCGATTAATAAAAACTATTTAAAAAGTATTAATTTAATAATATATATTTAATATAATTTCGTACGAAACTATCGCTATTTATCGTTCGGAGGACGGCCATCTTGATGGAGTGCTGATGTGGTAATCTCGGTAGGATCGAGTTCTCTTCTTTAAATAGTTTTATTTAAGTAAATATAACGAGTAATTAATTCGTAAGAGTTGTAAGAATTAATAGTATGGTGTTCGGTGAGTGTAAAGTTTACAATGTTTTTATCAATATCTTATAATTTGATTCGAGATGCCACACCTCTTCCGTATGAATTGAAAAAATGAAATTTTGCATTCAAAAACTTGAATTTTTGTTACATGATAGCTTAAATTCTCGTGACAGCTTGGCAATTCAAAACGTAACTTACATTTACGTTCCCCAACGTGTCCACAGCTTACAGATTACACTTGTGAGCTTTCATTCACAGGAATTTTGTTATAGTAACTCATACACTACATAACATTCCAAGTGTTTCAAGTTACTTCATTTTTCTCTTCACTGTTATGATGTACAGTACATATAAAGTTCATACTATTGATTACAGTAAAACTTCTATTAGCTGCATTTCCTACCACACATATAATGTCAATAACAGTTTATTTAAATATAATATTTGGCATTTTTCTTAAATTGCCACTGGGTAAAACTGTATAATTTGTATTTTATTTCAGCCAGTTTTTATAGGTTTATTTTAAAGATTTTATGTTTTTGTCACTTTTTATTTGCTAATTTTTCTATATTTTAGCAAGTTTTACCTATGCTTTTTAAATAGTTATACCAGCAATTGTCATTAGATATTGTTATAGTTTTACCGTATTATATATAATAAGGACCGAAGAAGGGAAATATGGCCCAAAATGCATTTCCTTTTGTAAAAAAATAGAAAATAAAATCTACTTTTTCCATAAAAAAAAAGTATTCCTGTGTGATAAGTTCTCCGTAACAATTTCGTGCTTAATTCCAAAGAATAATTTATATTCTTCACTAGTTTTACTTGTGTAAATGGTTCATTAATAATAAATTAAAACACACTTTGTTTAATAATTAAAACCGAAAACAGACATAATCAGTCAGCTGTTAAGTGTAATTACACTTGAAAAGTTTTACAAGAATAAATCTTTTCATAATTATTTATGATAAATGCTTGACTGTGTGATATTTTTAAGATAGATGATAGCTTATAGATAGAAATTCAAAGAAGTAAAAGTAAGTGTAATTACATTTTCATTCTAATTATGGATTTATTTTTTTCTGTTGATAAGTTAGAGGTGTAAAACGATGATAATCACAGAATTTTTATCTTTATCAATTACTCCTTATTTCATTGATAAGTTATATTAAAAGAAAATTAAATAGGGTCTATTAAAATGATATAGTATTTCATTTATTTAATTATAAAATTATTAAAGCATAAAAATGTGATTTTATAACCAAAAAAATATTTAAAGTTACTAAAACAATAATTTTTAAATATAGCAAAAAAATTTAATTTTGTTTCTTTAAATATTTATATTCACTTGGTGATAGTGAATTATAGAAAAGCAATGAATAGTATATCTCATAATCCAAAATTTAAGATTATAAGATTCTTCAATCAGTTTTTTTTATACTGAGAATACTTTTTTATCTAGGATTTTTAAGAAATAACAGATTGGTATTTTGATCATTTTTATCTTTAAGTAAGATGCTTTATCAACACATAGTATTAATTTTTCATTTGATGGACTAAAATTAATTTTTGANAAGCATGTCTTTCTAAAAATAAACACGTTAATTTTGTAAATTTGGTCTCTGTGTGAGTCTCTCGGCGTCCAGCAAACCACTACCCCCAAACGTAAAAAAGACTTTCTCGCATCATCCTGACAGATCGCGGGCAATGCTAGGGTCCCAACCTTTTCACCTAAGGTCGACCCCCCCAATGCGAGAGGCGTCAGGTCTATATTAACCACACTGGCAAAACGAGATGGCTGACACATTGACAGGTAAAACGCACTGAAGTAGTGCTCTCAACTGCGCCAGAAAATCGATTGGCGCCCGCGAAAATTCAAAAATACAAAAATGAAGTATATTACCAAGTAACCCAGTGATAACTGCTTGTCTATCATTTTAGTTCAAAATACAAGAAGTTTTATTCTAAGCAAGCATCTCAAGCCCGCTAGGTTAATTTCTGATGCTTGCTTGGAATAAAATTTCTNATTTAATAATACATATAAATTAAAAATTTATATTTTAAATATTGTGTGAGACCTTAAAGTTATAATTCTTTTTAAACAAATTGAATTTTATTTTTGAAATTATTCAATATTAAATTTTATGCATTCTGTTATGTAATTTATAGTAGAAAATGTATAATTTAACATGTTTATAGCCAGGTTTTCACTTTTTAATAAGTTGTTATTCAAAGTTCTAGTATAAATAACTTCTATTGTTTAGGTAAATTAGATTTTTTTTACTTCTCAATCATGTTTTCTTTTAATTTTCTTATGATAGTGAAATTAAACTATAAATGGAACAAAAGAAATTGATAGTATTGTAATGTCCTCCTTTTTTAAAGTTATTTTGATATAACTATATTTTATTAAATTATTTCTTTGTTTTTCTATTTATTCAATGAATTTATATACTAAATTATGTTTATAATGATTTTTAAGATTCTTAATTATATTTCAAAATTAGTCATTGTCTTAAATTTTATTTTAGTTATAAGATTTTATATGATTACATATAATTTCTTATTTACATGTAATATGTAATGCGTATTTATTTATGATTATTGTGTTATAAATATATTTTTTACACATTTAATTTAAATAATATTTTTAAAAAGATTAATTACAATTCTTTCAATTCAATTCATATCCTTAAGGATAAAGTCCCCTGGTGAGGGAAAGTACAAAAAAAATTATAACAAATAAGTGCAAAAACATTAATTAGTTTAAAGAATTGATCATATTAAAAAGTTTTACAATTGCATTATAATTACAAAACAAAGATATTAATGAAAGAGCTTTAGCAAATAATTTCCAAAACTGTCTCCACCTCATTTTTAATCCAAAATACCAAGTGATATTGTTTCCTGATTTCATCAGTAAATCTAGAATTCAAGATCAGATGAGAGAAATTGATGAAATGAGATGAATTGGTTCCTTCTTGAAATAACATGCATTTTTGCTTGGAAATCAGAGATAACTATTAGTTTTCCAACTAAATTGAAATTTATTCAAATGCAACTGTAAAATGCTTTTTTAAATAAAAAATGAATTTGTGAATTCACTTTTATTAAGATGCCTGTTCTGATACCATTAGAGGGTACTGTGGGTGAACCCTCCCTGGGAACCTGGGAACAGCTAAAAGAATGATCTGTAATTTGTTGGAAAACAACTTTTGTGATGATAATTTAATCAATTTCTTCCAATCATCTGGAATTGTATGTTGACCAAAATATTACAGTGCAAGGTTAGAAAATGCAATTAACAAATTAATTCACCATAGACAAAATCTAGAAATTCTGTCAATCCTGGAGCTGAGTTCATCTGCTTCAAAGGCAGTTTATCTTTTAGTTATTTTTGTATCCAATATTTTATCTTGGCATTCAACAGGGAAAAACCTTGATCCAGATTCAAACCTTCAAATTCCTTTTAGCCTAGAACAGTTCTACAAAATACAAAAACAATTCATTAATTTTGCATCTTTTATCAGGCTATGAATATGACCTTTATTATAATTAACAGTATTTCAGAATTTCCTAATATCCTTTTTTCCTTGCAAAATTCAAAGTAACTTCCCTGATGAAACTTTTTCTTTGCTTTACATATATTCTTAAACTAGTTTAATTTTATATAGAGCTCACAGTTTCACTTTGATCCTTATAATCAACATGATCTCAAACTATTGATCTTTCTCCCTCTTTTTTCTTTTTCAAATAAAATAACAACCCTCACCAAATCATAAATGACCATTTTTGGGCTTCAGTCTGAAAAAATTATGGACCTATAAATTTCCACTATTGTCTGTTTGTCTGTCTTTCCTTAATCTTGAATGGAGTTAAATAGATGAAATCTGAGACCAGATATAGAAACTTTAGGGGCAGGAGGCCCAATTAACTATATATGAACTTCCAATGCAAATCGGAAGTCATGTTATTTCAATTCAAAACTTTCCCCTGAAAGTAGTTAATAGATGGAAAAGTATGACTCCATTGCTAATGGAAAAGTATGATGTACCATACAGGGGCAAGACACTACAGTACTAATTTGAGGTGGAGAGCATATCTTTTAAATTAACTAAATTAAAAATATGATTAAAAAATTGCAGCCTGGCATTGTGATGATGTCACAATAAATAATTGCTCATTTTATAATCATTCTCTAATATATTTATTTATTTTAATTTTAATATGATTGTGTTGGTACAGGTATTTTAGAAAGACTGTCCTGTTAAGCTAAGTTTATCTTTTATCAGGTTGTAAAGGTGAAATTTAGACATTTCAATTTTTCTGGACGTGACTGGAAAAAATGTTCTAGAACATTTGATTTAGATATATAAATAGAATAACCAAAGGACATTTCATCACATATTTTATTGGAAATCAATGTGTCAGCAATGTCTGATAACATGAAACTTTCAAAAGAATACATTTTTGCTCTTTTACTTCAAAAGAGGCCACAATTCAACAAAGGCTCACAATATCATCTGCAAAGTTTGTTAAAGTGTTTATGGGTGAACAAAGGTCAATCAGCTGTTGAAAATGTCAAAGGGCATTTAGTGCAGAAGAAGGTAGTAATCTGCATTTGTTCGGCATCATTGTGATATAACTGCTTCCAATCAACATCATTGTCATGAAAGAATTCTACTGTGAACAGCTGGATTGTTTGAACACCAAGATCAAAGAACTTTGCCCAAAAATTGAC